TACTCATTGATCAACATCATGTTTGAAAGATGCATTAATGCAATGCATGCAGGTTTGGCCTTTATTTAACCAGTTAACTGTGATTGACGAACAAACTGGCCATGAAAAGTAGCAATATTTTGTGTATTGAGAAGTGTGCTCGTCATGTATATAAAACTTTTATCATTGGCTACTTAGATTTCATATTTGGTAAAGAAAAAAAGCACAAAAATACATGATGTCGTCATTATATCTACTATAATCAAAAAGTGCGTATAGGAATACTATTTCTTCATATTGAAATGCTGTTAGAATAATAATTGATTGGCTTTTGGAGTTAGTATTAATAGTAGGATTTAGGGTTTATACAAAAACCGACATTTCAGAAAACCGGTTTTCGAATTTTAATTTTACTAAAAAAAAACGGTTTAACCGGTTTTTAATTTTATATAAAAAATAAATTTTTACTCGAATATTCTGTAATTTATCCACACATTTAGTGTAATTTATAGCAGTATATGACTGAAATTATTTATTGTTCAATTTTATAGATAGTAAACAAAATTATTTTAATTTTAATTAGTAGAACCAAAAAATAATAGTTTATCTTGATTAAATAACTTTATATAATTATTCGTTATTCATGCATTATTTTCACATATAAGAATGAAAATATTTTTATGATAGTAAAAGGAAATTTTTTTGAATAAATAAAAATAATACATTTTTAAATTTAAAAAAATCATTAAATTAATATAAAATAAAAAAATATTAGATACATGTTGATACATACTTGTAATTTAAACATTCTAATTGTTTTTTTGTTTAATAAAATATGATTTCAAAAAACTGAGAACGTTTATCAAATTGCTACTTAGACGTGGCTTTTGTTTACTCACAAAATTTCTTGAAATAGAAACTCTCATACTTGCGACCAATTTATGCTTAATTGTTTTTAAATACTGATATAATAATTCTAAGTTTTTTGTTCTTTGTGGCTTCTAGGGTTTAAAACTCTTTTTTAAGTTAGAGTAAAGTTACTTTTTCAAGAAAAAGTTCCACTGATTTAAATTAATATATACACTGGTATAAAAATCTAAATTAATATATACAAAACCTTTCTGGAAACTATTGCAGACTGATTAGATATGAAATGCTATTGAACCGATATGATTTCAAGAATCAAAACGCTTTCATCTATATTTTATATTTGGTTATATTTGTCATTTTCCACATATACAGTAAAAACCGACTTTTTTCGCTAAGAAACCGGTTTTCGAATTCCATAATTTTCGCCAAAAAACCAGTTTTTAAAACCGGTTTTTGAAAACCGACAAACCCTAGTAGGAATCATTCCGGTTCTTCGCGATCAAGAACCAAGATTTCTAACTAAGAGATCTTTACTCCTATTCTAGTTTGACAGCCCTTGCACATATGTGGTATAATACCGTTCATTTATCCCTTGAAAAGATCTACGATGTGTTTGGAATCCTTTCATAAGGCGTTAGGAACTTTGCACTGAGCTCCGGAACAAGTGTCTGGCTTGAATACAAGTGCGACTATTGTCAATTACAAGTGGTGTTGTGCCACCAAGAGACGTAATGAATGGAACTCTTTTGTTATTTCTGCAGCCGTTTGTGGCACGACTCTCTTTATAACTGAACTTTGTTTGAGATGATTTACTTTACGCTTTCATAAGCCGTAATATTTCCTCTGCATGTTTTGTTTAATAGATATGTTTAAATGCAAAAGTCGTACATAACGACCAAGGTAAAATTGAAACGGATGAATGTATGTTCTTTTTATTAAATTTTTGGTTAATTAAATAAATGGTTAATCATATATTTATAATATAAAAATTCGAGTTTTTATCTAATTAATTCAATGGTGATTGAATTTATAGTAAATTAGATTTTGATCTCTGCACAGCGTTGAATTATGAAAAAAGAACTAAAAACAAAAATACAAAAATAAATATAATATTTGTCATAAAATTCTTTATTAAGTCTATTGGTGGTCAATGTTTAAATTTTTGGTTATTCATATTTATCCTCATACGATAATGATGGCCCATTAATCAGTTGATCGATTTTTTTAAGATTTTTGTACCCCCCTCCCGCTTGGTGATATGTGGTGTTATCAAAATGACTCTGCCCTCCCCCAACAAATATCACGTGTATTTTTAGTTAGGAAAAAAAAACTGTAAATTTTTGGATTTTTTTCTAAATGTTTGGATTTTTTTAAAAAAAATCGGGTAAAAAATAAATACACATGATATCTTACTACACCCTTGCTTTCCCAACGTGATATTTTGTAACTTTTTGTCAAACCCCCCTTCCCCTAAAAACCCCACGTGAACGATGCCCACAAAAGAGGGTAGTTTTTCTGCACTATTTATTAATTTCCCATAGGGTAAGTTATAGTAATCGCAAAAAAATCGAAAATTAAAATTTTTATATATATTTACGTTTCAGAGTTTTCTGAATATTTTGGCATACCTTAGAGAAAATGGATGTATGAGTGTGTATGTGTGTGTATGTATGTGTGTGTGCGTGTGTTCGGATACAAATTTTCGTCGACGATTTCGGGAACACGGATGAAGCGATTTGAATAATTCAAAAAAAATGGATTCGTATTGATAAGGAGACGTGCTGATTAGTTTTTGGCGAAGGCAGGTAAAGTCGTTCCGAAGATATGGGGCAAAAAGTGCCAAAAACGGTAAAAGAAGTAAATTTTTGTCAAAAATTTATAGTTTCTCAAAAATATAATTTTTCAGAGTAAATTTTGTTTCGAAAATGTTAATCTTTTTAAAAAAAAAAAAATTGGTACGGGAAGTTCCAGCAATTTGCCTTAAGGCATGATGCCATGCACCCCACTAGTTTTATTTTAAAGTTACAATTTTTTTAAAACTATGGTGTTCGAGCCTCACAAATTTTATTCATCTATCTTTGTCTACCTGACACAATAAAATAATTTCCTACCCTAGTATAGGTACTAAGCTAGTTATAAGAAATTATTCATTCTGTACGCATAACTTGAACCGTGAACATCAAACAAATAAATACTATTAATAACTAAACCAACTTATTTAATCTACTTATTTTTAAAGGTCTGATATAGCCATTTTAATAATAAATTATATCTGGTCCTTCGAGGTAGTAAAGTGTCCGTGTGTAGTGATTTTTAATTGACTTGTTTAATAAACATTGCGCCGGGCGCTTAAATATGGTTCATCATATTATCGGTGCAAACATGAGTAAATTACTTTTATTACGCATGAAATCTTAATTCTAATTACCTTGTGCAGATGGTATAGCACTGTTATCTGGTTAAAGATAAATTTCTATATTACGTCAATCAAGTCGATTGACAAATTTAAAATTCGAGCCGTTCCCCGATATAACTTGTAATGACAGAGTTATATACAGTTGTATCATCGGATTATTCGCTATAAAATGGTTTCTGAAAATGGGATGTCTTTCAGTCGGGGCTTTGAAAGGGATTGATATGGAAGAAGGACGTGACGGAAAGAGTGAGAACGTGTAACGTAGGCACGAACTCCTGGAGGCAAGTGCCAATAACGTGTGATTGATGGGAAAGCTCTCACAACTCACAACTACACTCGGCGGCTCAATATTGCGCTCGTTCGATGTTGTTTGCCGATAAATATAACTATTGCCGATCACGTTTTATTTAACAAACTTTCTTCGATATATTTATGAAAGTTAAAGGTTAATTCGCAAGATATTTAACTATCAAAGGACGAACCTTTAAACTTGCTACTACTTTTCACACGACCTTGGAGTACAACTTTGTATTCACACCTCTTAAATATCCGATAATTAAATAATCGTAAATCATAAGATATCATCATGAAACTTTAAAACAGGGCTCACTAAACTATAGGAGAGATTTTAATGACAAATATTTATATCATTTTATAACATCATGTCTTGATTTTTTTATGTTCTCAGCAAAATCTCAAACTAGTGGGGTGTATGGCGTCGTGCCTTAAGACAAATTGCTGGAACTTCTCGTACCGTAATGAAATGTTCGAGGAATACTGAGATTATTATCAACATTGTAACATTGCCTAATATTTTATTTATATAAACAGAATTGTAAAGTTAAAATTATTTGTTTAAAGTATATTAGAACTTTAGTCAGAATTAAAAATAAAATCTGAATTATTTTCGATATATAAAAAAACTAAAAAAAAAACTTGTTACAATTTTTTTTCCAAAATCAATTATTTTGTTAAAACAAGCTGAAAGTTTTTTGAATCTTTTGAATTGGACGCTTAGTTCTCTCAAAAACTGCCATTTTTTGCACATTTAGCTTTGTATCTTCGAAATGGCTGGGCCTGCCATTGCCAAAAACTAATAATCGCTTCTTCCAATCATTACTAAGTGAATGTTATTTAAATCATTCAAATCGGATGCTCCGTTCAATCAAAAACTCGATTTCTATTTTCTGCACTCTTTGCTCCGTATCTCCGTAACGGCTGGACCTGCCTTTGCCAAAAACTAATCAGCTCATCTCCCTATCAATAGGAATCAAATTTTTTTTAACCATTCAAATCGGTTGATCCGTGCGCCCGAAAACGTGACTGGAAGTTTGTATCCATACTTACATACACACACACACATTCATTTTTTCTGAGGTATGCCAAAATGTTCAGAAACCTTCAAAACGTCGAGAAATGTAATTCGAAATCAATTTCGATTTTCGGCCCATTACAATAACTTACCCTACGGGAAGTTAACACACTATAGGCGGGCCCCGTAAAATTACTCTTCAGACCAAACTGATATGTGTAGCGGGCAAATCGCGAGTAACACGAGTACGCTTTGCGTCGCCTCGCATGATCACAACCATTTTTTTATAACTCAATTTAAAAAAAAAAAACACAAGGTTGTTTTGAAACATAATAAATTTATTTAAATAATGTATAATTAAACATAAAACTAACAAAAACAATTAACAAAAGTAGATATATAAACTAAACAGTTTTACTTACATTAGTACTTATTACATGTGTGAAATTTATGGAAACATTCACCCTTATGAAGAGGTACGCTACATAACTGGCACATAAAACACGTTAAACTCTTTTTTTTATGAGTAGCACAAACATGGCATTGTCTTTGGGGATGTATTTTCTTGCCACCCGTTATTTTTACAATGTTATGTTTACTGGCATCCAGTAATCTCTTTGGGAATATATTTCTTCTATAAGATGTACTTGGTCCGGGATCATCAATGTTATCTTTAACATTTTCATTTATCCATACTTTGGCCACATCGTGCAGAAAAGTTTTGTATTTTATTTTTGAATTTGCATTCAGAGTTTGAAAAACTCTAAAGGCATTAAAAAGAGCTCCATTAATTAAAAACATCACTGTCCTTTTTGTCCATTTTTTTGTGCGTCGTATAATAGAATAATATGATAGGTACTGATCAGCTCGATCAACACCTTTCATAAATTTATTATACTCTACAACGCATGTTGGCTTCCAAATATTTTGTTTCGTATTCCAATCTACATTTCTGCTTTGTATCACACTGGCTGAATGAATTGTTGATATCATTCGAACCAGTCTTTTTGATTGCCAACATTGTACAAGAATATCTCCTCGGCGACGAAACACAGATTCATCTCTTCTCAGGGTTATATCTTGTAAATATGGAGGAAGTTCTCTATTTTTGCGTATAGTACCACAACTTCGAATTCCATGTTGTAAAAGGACTTGACAGGTATCGACACTATTGTAATAGTTGTTCATATAGACATGATGCCACAAGTTTTTATAGGGCTGTAGAAGGCGTATAATTGTATCTTGAAGCCGACTTCCTTCACCATGATAAATTTCATAATTGCATATATATCCTGTTTTTGCTTCACAAACCATTCGAATTAGAATTCCATATTTGTTGATTTTTGAAGCATTATACACCTTGAATAATAAGCGACCTCTCCATGGCATAATACTTTCATCTAATGACAAGTCTCGTTCTGGCTTGTATACTTGTTCAAATTTTGTTTTGAAATAAGACACTATTGGACGTATTTTATTAAGGCGATCTCTTTCATTGGCGTTATTTTCATTATTAGAAAAATGCCAAGCATACCATATTTGGCGAAAACGGTCTCTACTCATCACTTGGGCAAAAATTGGGGTTTCAATTGTTCTGTCTGTGGACCAGTATTCATCCCTATTCTCCTTACGAACTCTGCCCATAAGCAAAAGTAATCCCAACATTTTTTTTAATTCTACCGCAGATACGTCTTTCCATTTCAAAGATTTTGCACTGTCTTTAAAACGATCAATATTTTGTGAATGATAACGATTACTTTCTTCGGCCATATAGTCAAACAAATCATTACCCAAAAATAGCTGAACCACTTCACTTACACTTTGTGGATTATTTGGTTTCAAAACCACGCCACTTTGACCTAAAAATGGTTCAATATTCGGATGATTGTCAAATTCTGACCACTCCACTTCTTCACTGTCACTACCTTCAGAATCACTGGACATAATTGGTAAAACTCTACGTCTTCTAGGATTAAAAAAATCTTCATCACTCTCACATTCACTATCAAAATCAGGGATATCCAAATCACTTCCAATTTGTGACAAATTATCGGCGTAAACCTCACTATCGCTATCCGATGCCATTATTTTATTATTGCAAATAATAATTTAAAAAAAGAGATGTTGAACCGTATAAATCTTTCTAATAAATGAAGTATTTTATAAAATATATATTGAACACCCTTTTGTTGTAAATTCTGCATATTTATCTTCAAAATAAATTGAACATAAAAAGAAACTTGAAGATAAAACATATTGTTTCTTATCCTTATCCTAATTCTAAAAGTCTTACAATACCAAATATCAATTGAATCTCGAAAAAAGTACCAGCTATTCTTTCAATATCATATGCAAACCGATCCCATAAAAGTATTTTCACCCGCTTTCAATGTTAGTTTATTCAAAGCGTAATAATACCATGCCCGCCGATAAGCAACAATCCTCGCAGAACGTAATTTTACGGGGCCCGCCTATAGTGTACATACATTTTCATATATATATTGTTACTAAATATATAAATCATTTAAAAACATTAATTTATTTTTTATATATGTGGGGTCGTCAAGAAACTCGCAATCGTTAATGGGATCGCAAAGGACAAACGTTTGAGAAGCCCTGCTTCATATGTTATTCCGGAGTATTTTGACATCAACCAATGCTTTACTAATTAACTATCATAGTTCAGTATTATGTAATAATAATTAGACTACGATATTTTAAATATTTATAATTGACAAACTAGTAGTTCATGGCATGGAGCCTAAAGACAAACTGCTGACACATCCCCTATACTGAACAAACATTTGCGAAATGAAAATAATCAATAATCTATAAAAATTTATTAATGATTGATAACATGATCTAAAAATTTCAAAATAATAAGTAAATACTGTAAATTTCATCATCATCTTTCCTAAATCCTTAATATAAGAGCATATATTTGGGCGACGACCTTTATCTATGTTTACACCGTCGATACAAGAAATATGCTTTTTGAATCATTCTAATCGGATGCGCCTTTTTCTCAAAACAGCTATACTTTGCACTTTTTGTTGCTGCAACTGCCTGCGCAAAAATGTATAATAATGACTAGCAATTATTCACTCAATCATTGCTAATAGAATGTTTTGGGATCATTCTAATCAAACGTAAAGTTCTCTCAAAGCCTCGTTGTTTTGGCATCGTGGACGAAAAATTGTATCCAAACATACACATCCAAAATATGCTAAAAGGTTCAGAAACCTTAGAAACGTAAAAATTTGCATAAGATTTTGTTTTTGATTTTTTGTGATTACTTTAATTTGCCTTGCGGGAAATAAAAACTTTCAGATTAGTTCTTCCATAAATTTTAAAATTTACTTTGTAATTTATACAGGCTTTTGAAAAATGTCTAGAAGTAATATGAGGTTTCAAAATTTTTATAGTTTTAAAGTTGATTGAACTTTAGATATAACTATCAATGAATTATATATTGGTTTGTCATTTACTTTATAACATTCTGATGTAAAACTATTGGAACTAATATGTTGTTGTAGACTCTCGATTCATTGTCAAATTTTAACACTATTCGGTAACATTTTCATATAATTGATAGCAAACTCTGCCTATCTGAATAACCTTTTCTACCCTTTATTATACCTATTACAATCCATTATCATATCAATGTGATCTATTTGTTAACTACTACTATGTTATAAAAAAGCTTGAGGTAATTCATCAATATACTGTTGTGTCACTACTACGAGGTGGGGCGCGTCAAAATATTTACAACGAATGCATTTGCCATTTACCACTCACCATTTACCATTTAGCATTTACCATTTGAAACCTGGAACTGTTGATTGACAATATTTTTAACTGATGCCAATTGAACACATTCAAAATGCGGTTTTCCAATTTAATCAATGTCTGTCACCGGTGCCTACCTATCGTCTACTTCAAAATAATGCGCATTCGACGCACACATTGTATGATAGATAACGTGTTTAAACCAATAGGCGTTGGTTATACTATAGGTACAAATGTATATAAAATAATAAATTCGTATTCGGTTCATATTTTATATAAATACTGTTCATCACTCACTCATTTCATATAACGACTGCACGATTGTTCGCGTCAATTAAAAGTTTTGCGAACTGCCATCGGTAATACAGTTTGAATTTAATTTGAGAGATTTAATAACAGAACTAAATTAGCGATAAATAAAAATATATTTTATCGATAGACTGTATTAGGTATTAAATCACATGTACTTAATTTGGCTATGAAATTTTGTATAGAACCAGCAGTGCCCGATTAGGCGTTACTGAGTTATGCATATAAATAAAAATATAAACGTAAATGCGATTCTGTTACATCTAGTTATCTATGAGATAGAACTGTATCAGATGCATCTTTGAGTGAACTTTTAGCATCCCATTTAGCATCCCAATATATAATACAAGTCTATAGGCATATCAGCAGTAATTATACTGTAAAATGTGTTTACTAAATTTCATTTTTTATCAATTATTATCTTTCTTCTAGGTACGAGTTTGTTCGCCGTGGCCGCTCACGAGTTTGGCCATTCTCTCGGCTTGGCCCATTCCACCGTCCAAGGAGCCCTTATGTACCCTTGGTATCAAGGCCTACCCAAAAATTTCAAACTTCCCTACGATGATATAAATGGGATACAAAATATGTATGGTGAGTCTAAATCATTAAAAATTTATTTTAAAGTTAATTAGGTAGTAATTATGAACCCTAATATGTGCGGCAGTATGCTTTGGGGCTTTGAAAATATTTGCCTTGATCAATAAGAATGTTTATTTCTAGATACCAACGATCCGTTGAGGCTAAAAGTGTGTTTATACATTTATGTGTCTAATATAATATATATCATGCAATTGGGTTTCTGATATATATCATGTTAATATATCTCTATTGATTTGATAGTTTAATTCAGTGATGATCCTACATAAACACTACATAAATCACCTATATTCACCAATATCAATAAATCCAAAATATAAAATGGAACATTTCGTTACTTTTATAAAACGAGTAATAATTTTATTACTACGAGTAATTTTTTTTATAATTTTAATTGAACAGCGGTCAGAGCTTATGGGTTCTATGAGCTGTTGTGATTAATATCTTACAAACTACGAATATATAAATTAAAATTTGATATAGCAATATAAATTTTAATCGTATTCATAGATTATTTAACAAAAACATTACAAGCATTCACTTGTTTGTTTGGGTTATGTTTCTATCATTTATCTCGAAATTAAAATGTGATGTAAAATATTATTCATATAATAATTATTTACCTATAGTGATCGCAACACAAAAGAAACACGTAGTATGCACGGCAGTATTATCATTAAATAGAAAATACCAGTCATTAAATTTTTATTCATATCACATAATAATACCTTTATAATTTCAAATCACCGCTCGCCGCCGGACATTTGAATTAAACCAATTTTTTTAATAATATTTTAGGTCAATCGTAATTCCGTGGACAAATAAACCCGCAGCATTTGCGGAAATCAGTTATAAAAACATATTAGCGACGCATACAGAGCGAAAGGGCTCTCTGACAATCCATTATGTATTGATAGACACAATATCCGAACCGAATAGACGCAATATAGTTCAGCCAGGGGTTGCCAACCGGTAAAACGACTCTTACGGGCCAATTCTCACTCAAAATAGACCAATGTTAATGGAACGCTGCGTTTTTCATAAATAATAGTACTAAAAACTGTCAAAATGTATTTTTTGTATATGTTATTATGATACATCACAAAGATGCACTTGTGATAAGATTATTTTTTTGACGTTTTCCAGGTTAGGTTTTATACCTGAAATGTCTAACTGCACAACAACATAGCATTTTGACAGTTTTTAGTACCATTTTATATGAAAAGCGCACCGTAACAAATCCTCATCATAAAATTGGTCTAGTAATTAATACGGCACAATTGCCGCATTAATCTTTATTAGATTTTTTTTGTTATCATTATTTTAATTTTATTCATAATTTGACCTTTTCCTGCTTCATTATTTATCGCTCTGTGCTAATTTGTTGAAAATTTGAATTTATTGTAGTTTTTAATTCTTCAGAAGTGTAGTTCATAATTTTAAAATATTTTTTTTATAATTATTGAATAATTTTATAATATATTGTGTTACAAATACGGATTACTGCGGATTACTGAATCGTACAGCAGAGTCACTCCTGCGGAAAATTATGTATTATTACAATAATTGCAAAAATAATTTATGTTTCTCAATACTATCACTTTACATCGTGTTGTTAGAGGTAAATGATACTTACTCTTGATTTTTCGTAATTACATTTTCTTGTTATATATTTTATTATAATATGTCTTGTATAAATAACAAAAATTTTGAGGACGAACATCTAGTTAAACAAGACCTGCGAAATCTATATAAATTAAGTATTCCTTAAATATATTAAATGAAAATTTGTAGGTGTAAATGTGCAATAAATACGTGACTACAGTCTGTAGTCTACAGATAAATATATTAAGAAGTTGCCCATCTCTGATGTTCCCAAACCTGTGAGTATACGTTGTGTATATATATAAAGCGAGGTGTATTTCCTATCCAGCTATATTATGCAGAAGCCGTATGTACAAATTGAATTTGTAACATTAACGTATGTTCAGAGAGGCATTATTGCAATTAGCATGTCCATTGTGCCCGACGCAGTTCCACCGCGTATTTACAATGGCCCAATGTACACACAATCTACGTTATTTATCTTAATAGAATTTCATGAGTTTTGATTTCATTGAAATCGACGGCAAATATAATGTCACGACCAACACTCCGACGAGGGATGTTGAATTTTATCGATATATCGAAACCTAACTCTTTTCAGTATCCAAATCTGTTTTCCGTTGCTGGTTAGATATTTTCGAACAATATAAACCAGATATATTCCACTTTACAACCGCAAGGTAGTAAAGACAAACCCATGTTGGAGGCAACCTGATACCGTGTAGATAAAAGTAAATCCATTTTACTTGAAAATATAAATTAAAAATATGCTTCCAAATTAGAAC